ATACTATAACTTTCATTTGCATCGTTATTTATATTTATACACCTTCATAAAAATGTAATGATTTTGATTTGCTTTCATTCAAATACATTTTTTCATTTTTATTTTCTAACCAGCCAAAACTTGACATTGGTAAAATATTTAGGCAATTACAAGTTAGTTGAAAACAATAAAAAATAATTATAAAAATTTAAAGGTACAAGCGAATTTGTGCTATGATACAAGTAAAATTTTTAACTTTACTTCATAAATGCAGATTCTACTTGTACGTTAGTATTTTTATAATTACTTTTACTTATTCCTTTAACATGTTTGAGTTTATGGGGGCATTATAAAAAAAAGGAAAGTATTTTATTATTATTTTTAATATTGAGGAGAAGTGAAAAAGAAAAGAAAAGAAAAGAAAAAAGTTACATCATGCAGTGAGCTTCGAACTTGAACTTGAGTGTCATATTTGAAAGAACAGCCAACACAAAATTAAATATTGACGTGGTGGCTTATTTATTGTTATTTTCTTTTGAAAATTATCATCAATGAATTTTATGTAAATTTACAGTTCTTTCTATAAATTCCAAATCACTTCTGAAAATATTAAATGAAACTAACTCTAATTTTCCCATGAATTAAATTGACAGAAGTAAATGGAGGGATAGATTATTGTCTAACACTCATTTACTAGTAACATTTGTTGAAGAGCTTTATATTTTTCTCCAAAAGCTAGGTTAAATTTTATATGTTAAAATCTCAAGAGGTTGGCTAAACGGTCAAAGATGTGAGAATGAAATTAAAGATGTTAAATTTGAGTCACCTCAATGGATCATTGGTGGTTTGCGTGACTGTTAACATCAAGATTTTTGGATTAGCCAAGGTACGTATTAGTCAGACAATTTAGTTATCAAAAAATATATTACCTATTAACACTTGTTAAAATATTGTTGAAGACTTAGGTTTGGTTTAGAAATATGTTATTTTAGTAAATTTTTAATTTTTTGTTTAAAATATGAGTTAAAAAATATTAGTATGTTTGGAATGACTTTTTAGTTTTTTACGAAAAGATGTATAAAAAATAAATTAAGAAAAAAAATCTTTGACCTTTTATGCATTGTTGGCTTTTTAAATATTTTTAATGACTTTATAATTTTTAGGCTAAAACAGTGAGCTGCAAAACGAGGCCTTAGTGTTTGTTGCTGGTTTGACAACTTATAATAATAATTAAGAAGTCAAATAACTATGCCAAAAAGTGAAAAAAAAAGAGACTATTTTTTGCACATATTTTTGTAAAAAATAAAAAAATATCCCAAATATATATATATATATATATATATATTTTCACTTTATATTTTAGTCAAAAAAATAGAAAATTATTAAAGGTCTATTCCCAAACTAACTTGGATTGTTTGGAATGATCTAAATAAGTACACTTTTTGACTTTTTATGAATATTGAGTTTAGGTTGGGTTTGAAATGATGTGTTAGAGAGGTGATATAATTTAAATAAGATGATGTGACTTAAATAGGATAGTGACGTTTTTGACTTTTTTCAAAGCCAAACTAACCCTTTATATTATTGTTGAAATTTCTTTTTTTAAGAGCCTTGAAATTAATTTTTCATGTAAGCACTACCTACTAACCATTATCCAGCCACTTTATTGGACACATTTTTATTTTATTATTATTTTTAGAGTGTTTATAACATGTTTGTGAATAATTAAATTGGTCTTTCTTTCGTGCAATTAATCTCATAATCAACGTTATTCAAATGGTACGAAAACAAAATTCTCACTTGAAATGAGTTGTGCATACATATGAGAGGATGGTAATCGTTTTAATATTTCTATAAGAACAGAATAACTAAAATAAATATTAATCCATTTTATTAAGTAGTTAAGATGTAAGATATTATCACTCTATTATAATAATTTTTTTGATTTGTTTCGTTAAATGAATAAAATTAGTGTTTAAAAATAAAATTTTAATTATATAAAAAAATGTAAATAACTGGTGTGTGTAATTTTTTTTAGTGACTTCTAATTTTTCAATTAAAAAGTCAAATTTCAAAATGAGACCTGAATGAACAATCTGAAATCGTTAAATTGAAATACTGTAATCAGTATCAGAAAAAGGCTATTTGGTAATACTCTACAATATTTTATTTATCTTTCAAAAACCAACACAAAAGTAATTTATCCTGCTATTTTAATAAAACAACAAATATATTAGAACATTACATAAATTTAGCCCATGATCATAATTAATAAAATTTCCCCCCTTTCAGATGCCAGAATCTATGAAATTAAAAATAAATAATGTTTGGGATTTCAAATATTTTAATTAAATATTTTATATAGATGTGGGCCACATATGATATACATGGTGTAAATTTTTGTATTCATATAAAATATTTGATAAAAATATTAATAAAATATTTGATTTTTTTTTTTTGTTATAGGAAAATCCTCCATACCCTCCCGCAGGTCCAAGGTAGTGCCCCTTACAGAGATTTCCAGGGTGTTCTGTTTGCCGTTTCGAGCGAAGAGACTATAACCTGGGAATTTGTCCCGACCTCCCAAGACAAGCTCCGCTTGAGTTAGGACTCGCACAACGGGGAGTATTGAACCCAGACCAAGTATAACCTGGGAACTTGTCCCGACCTCCCAAGACAAGTTTCGCTTAAATCAAGACTCGCACAACGGGGAGCATTGAACCCACACCAAGTGCTGATTAGACAACTTGAGATCTAACCTCCTAACCAATTGTGCTTTGTCCAAGAGATTGACCCAGAGAGAGAAAATTAAACCTGTGACCTTAAGGTTTACATCCCAAATCTTAACCACAATGCTACCCACTCTGGGTTAAAATATTTTATTTACCCACCATTTTCAATTAAAAATTGCAGATCAATAATAGGATTGAGAGAAAGGTACCCCGTGTAAACAATACATTACAATGGTGTAGCATCTATCACAAATACCTAGGCCTAGCTAGGAGAGATACTATCGTGTATTGTTACAAACCAGACGAATCGATATAAGTTCGTTTATAAATGTCGTTTAATTTAAAAATTTTCATATTACAACCTTTTATATATTTTGTAAGTTTCATTTTAAGCCCAAAAAATAATAAAAAAAATTATTTAAAAAGTTGTTCAAAAAAATACCTTTTAATAAATAAAAAAAATAATATAACATTTACCTTTTAACTAATAACAAATAATTTAGTGACCTTTTGACATTTAAATGAAAATTTAATTTTTTCACAACACCGTGTCTGCTTGTTATTGTTTCTTAGCTTCAGTTTCTTTCGACATAAAATATTTTATATCTTACAAAATGTTTAGATAAATTATAAAAAAAAACCCTCAAAGTTGAACTTTTATAGCGAAATAAATTCTGAATTTCTAATTTTGTCAATTTAAATTATTATATTTGATTTATTTTCAATGTAAACCATGAAAAAAAAATTAATAAAACATCCCTCTTTAACTCTGAGTAGTATGAGAGGTCTAACGGGTTCGTTTGGTTTGTATTTTTGAAAAAATTTTAGAAAATTTTCTCTACAAATAATTTTTTAAAAGTAATCAAACCAAACAAATTTTTTCAAAAAAATTTCTCAAAACTTGTAAACCAAACAAGCTTTCCAAACAAATCTCTCTCTCACACACATCAAATCAATCACTTTTTCCAAAACTCTCTCTCAAAATAATTTTCCAAAACATCTTTTGAAAAAAACCAAACTAAACAACTTTTCTTACTTTTTATCTCTAAAACACATCTCTCAAATACAAATCAAACATTCTTATTAGTTAAGGTCCCTTAATAATATCATTAGAAAAATTTCAGCTTGTCATAGAAATTTCTCTATGAAAATGTTGAGTGATCTCAACTACTATGAAAATGTTGTATATTTTTTATCTTATAAAATCATAATAGCAGAGATCTTAAACTAAAAATTTCTACCTAAAATTGATGAAAAAAAAGATTTTTTAGTTATTAAACTCGATATAAATATACATAAAATGTTTAAATTACCATTTTTACTGAGTTTAATTAATAAAATATTATTTTTTCCGTTAATTTTACCTAACAAAAATAGACAAATGATTGATGAAATAAATCAAACGTTTAGAGTTTAAATTTAAAAATTAAGAACTCAAAATTTATTTTTTTATACCAGTTAAATTCTATGTTTCTTTAAAATATAATTTTGAACAATGTTAGGGATACCAAATATACTACTAAAATTTTGACACAACACTCACAAAGGTTGATAAAATTTTTGATATAATATTTGAGATCCCTAATATTTTTCTATAATTTTTCCAATAATTTTTTTATGTAAAAGAATTTTATAAAAAAATATTTTTAATTTTCTTTTAGACTAATACTTGAAGCCATTTTTTTTTTTTAAAAAAAATACAAATTAGTGATTTTTTAATTTTTTTTATATATTTATAAAAAAATACGTAACTTTAATTATTGAAATTGATATCATTTATTACTAATTTGAATTTGTTTTTTTTTTTTTTAAATATCTACGCTACCTTGCAATTTCTCCAATTTTTATATAGACCGTTGGACCTAACAAAGAGAGCGCATTTATAACTTCTTAAAACTAAAGTTGAATGTTAATTTTAAACAATAATTGAGACTTTTTTTTTTTTATTCTCACAATTTTTTATTTAATCTCAATCATTAACGGTATGAACTCCATATATACATGAGTGAGTCCCATATATATATTAATAGTGGAGATTCAAAGGGACTTGTGAGATCTTAAAAAAAATTAGAGTCTCAAGCATTTTTCTTCTAAAAAATAAGTCTAGGACTCATATGTATGAATCTCAAATTTACTCCGAATAAAAATATATGATTGAAATAAAATTTATATATAAAATAAATTTAATTTTAAATAATTTTTTGAATAATTAAATGTAAATTTATAATGTTACTGTAAAACTAATATAAATTTAGCCCTAAAAACTACAACGTCCGTACACCGCTCGTTACGCACTTTTGCTTTGCTCCGCTCCAAGGTCACCTCTCTTGCTTAAAAAATAAAAAAAAGAAGAGCTCTCTGTCGCTTTGCCGCAACCAACTTTCATACTCGTCTCGTGTTTACACTCTCCGTCTCCGATTGTCTATAAATTTATGATCATCGCGAGCCAAATGCGGAGTTGGTGATCCTTAACTGACAAAAATGGAAAACCGTGTAGTGGAGAACGGAGTGTGTTCATCGGAATCGGTCAATGGAGCTCAAGATATTTGGAGTTCTAACAATTCTGATGCTTCTTCAGCCGATCATCTGGTGGTCATGATGCATGGAATTCTCGGAAGGTCATATATATATATATATAAACTCATATGTTCTTAATTTCTGTGAATTGTTTTATTGGATCTTGGCTTTGATGATATTTGTTTGAAAGATAAAGGTGGATTTTTTAATTACTGTTTGATATGATTTAGACCTTTTACTTTTTTTTGTTCCCCTAATATCTTAGATTTCGCGATTTAGAATTACAATGGAGGGTTTTGTCTTTGAATTGCCTGAATATACGATAAAGAATGCAATTTTGGGATTTCTGAACATTTGCTTCTTTATTTACCCTCTGTTTTGACCGCAATTTCATTTTCAGCGATTAGGAGGTTTTTTTTTTTTTTTTTTAAATTTTTTTTTTTAAAATATAGCATCGAATGTACTTTGGGTTATTTTGAAAAGATTTTGCTACTATCCTTTTTAAGGGAAAAATTCCTGTTGTTCGATGATATTTTGCCTGTGTATTTGGCAAATAATTGAGGAAGTTGCAATTTTTGTCATCTTATAGATTTGGGAGTTTCTGAGCTCGGAAGCATAGTTTTTTTCTTGATTATCCAAGGATGTGTTTTGGATGTCCTGTGCTTTGGAGATGGTAAAGAAAAACTAGCCCAAGTTCACTGAAACCCATAGCTTTTCTTTGCCATGGTCACTTGTGTTTTTCTTTATTATCCTCGCTTATTGTTTTCACATCGGTCTGTCAAAAACACTGATTTTCATAAATGTCTGGACTCACATTATGGGTTTGTTGTAGTGAAGGTTACATACTAAAGACACAAATGTGGCAGTTAAATTTTCCATTGGACATTCAAGCATGCCCTAATATATTAGTTGAAAGTGTTAACTTTTATTTTTCATTGTTCAATGGGAAGGAAAATATATCAGTTGACAAAGTTTTTCTAGAGAAAGCATAATGTTCAGTTTTCAAGCTTTGGCTTAAATCCAACTAAATAGGCATGATACTTTTCCTAATGATGGAGATTGATTGGGAAAAAGGTTGTTCTTTAAAATTTTTCTGGGAGCTGTCTTCGGTCTGAGCAAACGTTCATGATGCTTTTGTGGACTGGAATGCTTCTCTCTGTGGATCTACTTTTGCTCCACTTCTGATTGAAAACTTTGTTATTGTGGTATGTTTACACTGGTGATACATTATTTTTGCAGTTCTGCAGATTGGAAGTTTGCCGCCGAGCAGTTTGTTAGAATGCTCCCTGATAAAGTATACGTTCATTGTAAGGAGTCTTTCAACAATTCTGTTTGTGTATTTGTTTTTAAAATCAAGGTTGCCAGAAAGTGCCTAAGATATTGTAAACTGCAAATTACTTTTCCAAGAAAAAAGAAACTTGTAAATTACTGTAATTTCTAGGATAGCTGCTGTAATTTACTGTAATTGATCTCCTGCTACAAAAGAAAAAGTTCATAAATAAAAGTGAGGAACCTGATGGAAAAATGTTCTATGTTGCCTGAATGTAGGCATCAATGGAATGATTGACCCCTTGGTCAAAACTCAACTATTGACTTGCTTTGCAGGTGGTCAAAGAAATACGGCCAAGCTTTCATTAGATGGTGTGGATGTAATGGGGGAGCGATTGGCACAGGAGGTTAGTTCTCCTCTCTGCTTTAGGTTTGCTTTACATTTACAGTTCAGCCGGACTACTTGAATTTAAGTTCTAAATCTGCTTAGTTTTCTCAAAATGACATACTGCATGCAGTTTGATATTAACAGAATGTATAAATTCCAGGTCCTTGATGTGATTAAACTTAAGCAAAGTTTACGTAAGATTTCGTTCCTTTCACATTCAGTTGGAGGACTAGTGGCAAGGTATGTCATTGGGAAATTGTATAGACCTTCTAGAAGGGAGGCTGTGGAGGGTGAAGAGGAATCAAAGGGTACAATAGGTGGTTTAGAGCCTATGAACTTCATTACCGTTGCTACACCTCATCTTGGTTCAAGGGGTAATAAGCAGGTATGTTTCTTGCTTTTTCATCATGGTTTTCAATCATACTGAACAATACTGAATCCTTCATGTAGCTGACAAATGGCTAAAGTTGATAATATGAAGAACTGTATGAGTTTGTTAAAAAGGATAGGTGACGTTCTCCTTGCATGATGGTGCATACGATCAGGGTGGGTAGGGAGATATGATGTAATTAGTAAAGGGATAGGTGATGTTCTAAATTTTTATACGGGAATGCTTCCTCAGTAACTCTTCCATACTTCCTCTTACTGTATTTATGGACGAAGCTAAAGAAAAATTCCTAGCCTAATTGGATATTTGAGCTTTGCCACTTGTTAAGAGGGTCTTGGTCTATGTTATACGGATTCTTCAAAATAAATCAAATACTCGTGTTGGACACCTAACACTCGGATAAGGGTATGGGATGTGTGTCGGATACTTCTTATATAATTGTATATAACACTAGTATTATATGTATATATTGTTGTATAATTGCTATAAATGTCTTTTTGATACTGTAAGTTACATGTAGCATTATTTTTTTTCACACACTTGATTAAAAATATAAAAATATGACATTGTTTTGTCAAGTCCGCATAGCTTTAAATTTATGGTTTGATGAGTCCGACCTCTAAATAGATATCCGCACCCGACACCCGTACCCAAGTACCTTAGTCTTGGTTGAATGAACCTCTGTATTGACAGAATTTGGGGTCTTGGGGAGACAAGTTTGGGACAAAATTATTCATGATGGTCTTGAATGTCAAACTCTAAACTATTTTCATTTTATTTTTTTGTTTGGTCATCTGTTCTTATTTTCTAATAAAATAACCTGTGCATATATTTTACATACTGAAATCTTTGTGGTGATAAAAAAGGAAAGCACCGGATGGAGGAATACTAGGAAAGAGAATCCATTTCAACATGGGAGGTCCTTAGGGTATGTTTGGAAATGTTTTTTTTGGGGACAAATTTCAATTTACCCCCTTGTGTTTTTGTCAATGTGCGGATTACCCCCTCTCATTTGGAAATAACTACATAATCCCTTTTGTGGTTTGTGGACTAAAGTGCACCGTTAAACATTTCGTCTAACTTAATAGTGAGTGTGAAACACGTGCCAAACATAAGGGGGTTATATGCTCATTTTCAAATTTCAAGGGGATAAATCGCACATGGAATAAAGCACATGGGATTGAAGTGCATTTTGACTCTCAAAAAAATGATTAAAAGATCTGTAGTTCACACATTTAGATTACTTATATATAGGGGTATTTAGGCCTCGTTTGGCATGAGATTGTTTTAGCCTAAAAGTTAAAAAGTTATTAAAAAAACCAAAAAGCCTACAATTTTAACCTACAGACCTACCCTATGTTACAATCACATGAGCTGTGGCCTTAGCAGAGGTCAAATGACCTTTTTACCCCTCCTTTTTGTTTTTATAATTTGTGTCCGAACCCAGCCTTTATGTCAAAACCTATGTTCAAGTACAAAATTAGTCATTGTGTTCAAGTACAAAAAGCCTACAATTGTAAAGTTTGTTTTTGGTTTTCTGTATTTTTTTTTTTTTTGGTTTTGAGTGAGTACATTTACAAATAACAATTTTTATGTACTTTTCTGGAGAGACCTGTTTTTATGCATGTTTCTACAAAATTTGTAACAAAATATATTATACAATAATTACACAACAACACAGAAAATGTACTGTATTGATTAACATTATTTTTTTATTGTTGCTATTTTATTTTCTCGTGATTCTTTTCACACATTCTTTTTTTTTTCCCAGTGTTTTTATGTTAGGTGTATATAATACTGAAGTAAATTGCTTACAATATTAAAATAATTCAGTGCAAAACAAAAGTACAAAATACTTCTAATTCTATTTTTCTGATAAGTAAATCCTAAAAAACCAAACCAAACAAACTGATTACATTTCACAAATTACAACATAACATTTTCGTAAATTATTCTAACATAACATATTCGTAAATTACAGCATAACATTTTATATATTTTTTTGGAAAAATAGTGTTTTGCATTTGTTTTGGTATTATTGATGTGTTCATGAGTTTTTAATGAAGATTTGAAAACAGTTTGGACAGATGTACAATTATCAGTGAAATTGTGAAAATTGTTTCGTGATGGGTTTTGAAAAGACTTTTTGAATTTTTTTTTTAATATAATTATTACATTCCACAATTTATAAGAAAACATTTTCGTTAATCAAATTACAATAAATTTTTTTTGTAGGACTCTATTTTTGGAATTACAAAATTGGTGAAGTCCAATTTGTAGATTTTTTTTAAAAAAAAAAAAAAAAAAAAATTTACATAAAAAAATGGGTCAAGGTAGCAATATGTGTTCATTTCCCCATATCACCTAAGCCTATATAGTTGACATGCTGCAATAATTTCTGTTGCATCACTTCACCTGACATGAAGTCATGTGGTGACGGATTGAATAGCAATATTGAAGGGCAAAAATGTCAATTTACTCTTTTTAACTTTATTTATATTATTTTATTGCACATATTTTCGTAAAAAGTCAAAAAGTTCTTCCCAAATATATAATTTTTTTTAACATCATATTTTAGCCAAAAAACTAAAAAGTTACTAAAAAAAATTCTTCCTAAACGAGGCCTTACTCTTTTCCATTTAATTGTTAACGGGCCTAACGGTGCACTTCAGTCCACAAATCACAAGGGGGCTATGTGGTTATTTCCAAGTAAGAGGCGTAATTTGCATATAGGCCAAATGACAACAGTGTAAAGTGAAATTTGCCTTTATTTATTTATTTAAAAGGATGAGTTGGGTGCAGCCCGTGTACAAAAGAGCTATACCATCTATACATCAAAATGCCTATTACAAGGCCTCTACAAAGTCCAAAATTTGATTCAAATACAGGGTCACCTAAACCCAAAAAGCCAATTATACAAAAAAGAAAGCAATCTACTCTTCAAACTCAAAATTGAAACTTCTTTGCCTGCAAAAGACTGCCTATTCATTTTTGCCCAAACTAGCCACATTAAACTCAACTGGACCAAATCCCTAGCCAGCCTTCCTACTTTTTTTAGATTATGATTTTTTTAGATTGGCTTTGTTTGTTGTAGCTTATGGGATTTCTTATAGCTCTATTTATTTTGAAAATTTGTGTTGGACTGTTTGGTACAACTTTTGCTTACAGCTTAAGAGACGCAAATGGCTTAAACAAGTTGAAAAAAAATGATTATTTAAAAGCAAACAGGGGAAGGGGTGCCTTTTGATTACCAGATTTTAGCTTGCAAGAAGCTACACCAAGCAAACCCATTTAAAAAGCTTTGAATAAGTTGTAAACATTTTTGGTGGAGCTTTTTGTATAAGATGTGAAAAAGCTGAACATATTTGGTAAATAAATTGCCAAAAAAGTTTTTTATTTTATTTATTTGTTTTCTGTGTAATTGTCCAAAATGCCCTCACAAGTTGTGTAAGTGTTAATGTGATCTGTTTGGTAAAACTTTGCTATTAAAGCTTATATATTTTTATATTAGGCATATATGTTGAAATTTCAACTACTATTTTTCACTTCAACACATCAATTCAACTGAACTTATAAAAAGGTAAACAGTCCACGGGCAAGAGTAATGACATTATGAATGGGCACACTTGTAATTAACAAAATAGTCCATGAGCATCTTTAAGCCAAAAAGCTCCTCCAGATCAGCTCCAAAAAATTCATTTTATTTTATTTTTTAATGGCTTATAAGCTGGAAAAGAGTTCAAGTTGGTAGCCAATAAGTGTTACCAAACAGTTAAATTAGACCTTTTAAAGCTGTAGTTTAAATTAATTGACTTATAAGTTTCAACAAACATCGTCTTAGTGTTTTTCTATAGAATATCAGTTTTGACTCAATTGAGGTGTATATTAAAGAAGAAACCTTGATAAGTCAAGAGCTCAATTAAGTAGTAGCAGGAGGATAGTATAATTACCAAAAATAAAATGGAAGGGAAGAAAACTATGAATGCATGTGATGTGAAGGGTCAGACTATATATGTAGGAAGGATAGTCTCTATCCATTCGCATATTCACCTAGGCTACCAAGTAATTAAATTCAGGTAGTGCCTAAACAAGAATGGAGCAAGAGCAAGCCATCAAGCACACTTCCCTAGAGGGATGAGGCGGTTGTATTGCCTTTTGACCACAATATGCACTGCCAGGGACTGTTTTTCTGATAGGAAACGAGAGTGTTTTTCCTCAGATGTGGAGAATTTGTCTTCAGGTTTTATCAATTTGCAGTTTTTTTGTCACTTGGTTGAAATAATGAAATTGAATGACGTTGATACTAGGTAGCATAGTTATCATTATTAGAGAAGTCGATGTTTAAAATAGAGTTCAAGTGCGTTTGCTTTGTGACATGGTGAGCATGGTCGTATGCTAGAAATGATAATTAATATCTAAGAAACTTGAAACTTGAAACCTTTGGCTAACATTTCCAAAGAGTTTAGTTAAATTTGTTGCATATCTGATGGTTAATAAACGAACTTAATTCGTCTTGATTCTTTTATGAATTTATACTGTATGGAACTCAGTTTCTAATCCTGACGATAGATCCGAATGATCACTGATCACTTTAACTTACTATATTTTATCTGAAGCAGTTTTTGGCAAATATAAATATCTTATATATAGATTATCCATCTATGGTCTTGTTGCATTATGAATTTATGATTGATCTTTGTTTTTCTGTTTTTTGTTCCCCCCCCTCCCCCTCTTTCTTGATGCAGGTACCCTTTCTTTTTGGTGTACCTGTCTTTGAGAAAGCTGCTGTTCTTGTTATTCATTTGATATTTAGGAGAACGGGCCGGCACCTTTTTCTTACTGATAATGATGGTGGAAAGCCTCCATTACTCAAACGCATGTTAGAAGATTACGGTGAATTTTACTTCATGTATATTGCTTAAACCCTTTCTTAAGTGAATTGCTGTTTCATACATGGGATGTCTTCAGATGTCCTCATCAGTAAGCCTCCCAGTATTTATTGTTAATTTGGCAACCAACTCATTGATGCAGGTCTGCATTACGTTCATTCAAACGCCGAGTGGCATATTCAAATGTTGGCTATGACCGTATCCTGTTAACATTGTAGATGAAGATCTTATTTCTATGTGGTTATGTAGTTATATTTTCCTTGTTTCCCTTTACAAATAATAATCAGATATTGTGGGCTGGAGAACATCATCAATTAGACGTAACAGTGAACTTCCTAAGGTATTTTGTTTAGAATGCAATGCATATTCTGAACACACTATACGTTCTGGTTGCAGTTCAATGAACAAACATTTATATTGTTCTTCAGTGGCAGGATTCTTTAAATGAAAAATATCCACATGTAGTATATGAAGAACACTGTAAGGCATATGATACTGAGCAATGTGAATCCGTTGTAATAGAAGATGAGGGTCCCAACAAGCTAGAAGGTTGGTATCTTCAATAACTTACAGTTCAAAGTATAGCTTTTTTAGTATCTTAGATTCTTAGGTTTATTTATGGCTAGATGCTGTTGCTATTCTGGGTTTTACTTTCTTGCTTAATGCGGCATTGCATTCTTAAACATTTTGTTGGTTTTATTTTTGCTTTCACTTTGAATTTCTTAAAACCTTGCATTGAAATTGTTGCTTGGACTGTGTTATTCAGAGGAACTTGTGACTGGCCTATCCCGTGTGTCATGGGAAAAAGTAGAAGTCAGTTTTCACTCTAGCAAATTGAAGTCTGCTGCTCATAGTCTGATTCAGGTAGCTCTCTCTCTCTCTTTCTCTGCGAATATGGATGCACACATATTTATGTACACCTTCTTGCTGTTGATTTTCCATGGGAACATTATATTGTATATACATATGTAATTAGTAAATATAGCAAGCTTTATTTTTTAAGACTAAAATTTTATCTAAGATTATCTACATCCTTAATAATTCAGATGCAATAAGCTATTTTGATTTGTAAAATTTTTCTATGCTTGTCTTTTTTTCTCGCTGCCTTGGTGGGAATTTCTCCTTAAATTTGCAAGGAAAACTCACCACTGTTGTCCAGCATGAGGAAGGTCTACAAATATTTAATGTTATTTCTAGTTTCAGGTCTTTCTCACTGTGTTGTATGGTTCTTCAAAATTTTTCTTAAAATAAGTTGATTAAAAAAAAAAAAAAAAAAAACTTAAAATAGAGAATAAGCTTCAATAAAGAAGGTAAAAGAGCTATTGGCGGAGTTAAATAGGAGATCCAACTAATATGATGAAATTAGGGTAGATAAATCTATGGATTTGCATGACAAAAAGCTTAGAGGAAAAAAAGGATATGCAGTAATTGTTCAAAATATGCTAAACAAGAGAGTAGGTGAATGTTTGTTTTTGAGTAGACCCAAGAAACAAGAATGTATTGATGTTTTTGGTCATATTGCTTTTAATTGAGAAATAGAACACCATACCCTAGAGATGCTATCTTTAACTGGTCATATTGTGATTTAGTAGATTTAAGAATCAAAGATTTGCTAGCTTGACTACATGACCATAAATTTTATTGAACTAAGACAAAATTATAAAAATTAAATTGTCAAATGTTGGGTGAATGAGCACACTATTTTACCATAATAGGGGAACAACCACTCTAAATGAATGAGCAAACCATTTTAATATAGAGCTTATACGTACTATATTCTGTAAAAAGTTTTCATCCTCTTCTTTTTTTTATATATATATTTCTGTTAACCAATAAGATCTGAACACATGCCCTGTCTGTGATGTCACAACTTAGATACTAGGGCAAGATATTTCATATTTGTGTTGCTTTAACCAAAAATTAGGATGCTTGGCTAGTTTGATAAATCAAGTCAATTTGGAGATTATGTACGTTAAAAAAAAATGTAATGATAATTTGATTGTAGACTTTGATCTACTTTGTGCGTTACTGGGCATTCCATGTCCATTATTAGAGACCTTTCTAGTGAATAGAAAATTTTGAAATATAAAATCAAGCTACCTAATTAATTAATGTGATTAAGGCTTATGCAGCCCAAGTAAGATTGGATGAACATATTAATTAAACAAATTGTTTAACATGTAAAGATTGCAATGTTATCCTTAAGAGAGAGTTTAACAGCATACCATAGGCTAACAATACTATATTTATATATATTAAGGGCAATATCAAACCATAAAGATATTAGAAACCCATGAACTAGATGGTAGAATCTCAAAGGTGATGATATTTATCACCAAAAAAAAAAAGAAAAAAAAAAAAAGAATCAATCTCAAAGGTGATGAATTAGAAATCTTTTTAAGGATAAAATAAATGTGAAATTTGGAAAATGATACTAATAAGGTCAAATACAATAGTGGAATGTATCAAATTATTATTATTATTTTTTAAAGAAGCCTTTGGGGAGTTGAAGGGAAAATATTATCTAAAGTAACTTGGTGGTAGAATGATGAAATACAATTCATAGTTAAAAATTAAAAAATGATGCTTTGAAAGTGGCAAAATGACAAGTGAGGTGGAAATTGCACTAAAGAAGATGAAAATGTTTGAGGAGGGGTATCTTGGCTAACAAAATTATTAATAATATTCTAATGACTAAGAAAATGTTTGAGGAATGAAGAAAAAGTATTTTAGTGCCTATTTATGAAAGTAAAGCAGATATGAAAAATAGCTACTACTATAGAGGTAATAAATTTAATGACTTCTTCAATAAAATTGTAGGAAAGAGTTGATTGAGCTTCATTTAAGAGTTGTAGGAATAGTGTTAGATAATCAGTTTGCGGATGATTTTGTCCTACTAGATGAAACTAGAAGAGGAATAAACACCAAATTAGAAATTGGTGGTGAACACTTGAGTCAAAAAAGTTTAAATAAATATGATTAAAACTAGATATGTGGAATGTAATAGATGTAAAAATAGTAGAGAAGTGAAGATCGAAATTCAGGATGTACCAAAGAGTGACTATTTCATTATTTAGCTTTGATAATTAATAAGAATGGATAGGCTGATAAAAAATAATAATAATAAGAATGATAGGTTGGAGATGATGTGACGTATATAATCAAAGTACGTTGGCTGTAGTGGAGGAGTATTTCTGGCATATATGAATACTAACAAAATTGATAGGAAAATTTTATAAAACAATGCAAGGCCAAGGATGTTTTACGGGACAAATGTTAGGCAACTAATAAACAACACATTAATAAAGTGAAAATAGTTGAGATGAGGATGCTAAATAGATGTACAATAAGACAAAAAATAATATAAATAAAAAGAATATATTTATGAAATGGGTGAAGCAGCACTGATTGAAGAAAAATTGAGAGAACAAATTACGATAATTTGATTATATACGTTTAAAACCGGTAGATACAAAAGCAAAGAAGAGTTATGTGATCACCCCAAGTGAAAATTCTAGGGGGGAAGAGACCTAAATTGACATGAGATGTTGTAAGAAAAAAATGTGAATATTGTAGAAATTTAATGTATAAAGAGAAATGATTGTATTATTGATTTATTATTTTGATATATTACAATGATTCCTATATATAGAAGAGAGGATGTGGGAAGAGAATAGGTGAGTGTGTAGTAGGTATGGAGTAGGTGAAGAGTAGGTGAAGTAGGTGAGTGTGTAGTAGGTGGTAGTGGTAGGTGTGTAGTAGGTGAATTTTAACAAATATATTTGATTTAACTGAGTTTATAATCTTTTGTAGAACATAATGGTAGAAAATGATTTGTGTAACCAACCTCAATTGATTGAGACATAAGGCTTGGTTTAATATTACAAATGGTTGGAAGTTGTTTTTTGGGAATATGAAGCCCAAAGAAAGGTGAAAGACTATCTGTTTCAGCCAGAAATGAAAATTTGGAAGATGGGGCGTAAATTCTGTTGTTTGTAGGTAGGGTGTATTTATGTTAATCGTTTATGTTGTTCAATTGTTGCATAATGTGTGGTGTACACGGCTTTTTTTGAAAACTCTATGTATATAAAGCGGAGCTTAAATGTGTTTTTATCATATGGCTCCTGATTTCACATCTGGGTTGCTGATACTAAAATCTGATCTTCCATGTCTCAGACAAAACAACTACCTCACTGATCCTTTGTACGATAATTTTTCATAAAAATATTTCTGCATTCAAAAGCTGATTTTCCCTTTTGACAATATATCTGACAGGTCAAAGATCCACTCGTGCATTTTGAAGGTGCAGATGTCATTCAACATATGATTGATAATTTTCTTGTTTAGTCCCACACTGACTCTATTGTTGCATCGCAGCTGATAATGCATGTTGTATTATTAGGTAAAAGCTACGATGCGCCAAAATCCCCATTTTTTGGGGGGATCACAGGAGTTGTATTTATGACTTTGGGTTGCAGGTAGAAAAGTGGTCAGGGCTCTCAGTGCTAGCCAACTCTACCAAAAACTATGGTTTAAGGAATACTTTGCTATTAGAAATTTTGTTTATTCATTTATCTTGTCCAGTGTACATGAACATGCAATATTTATGGATAGAATGGAAATGAGGCAACGGTAATATTTCATGAATCCTTCTGTGAATCTTTTGCGTGGAAAAGTTTTGATTGTGCTGTCTAGAAGATTCATTTTATGTTGAAAAATCCCAGGCAAACTGTCCTGCCAAATAATGGCACTTGATGCATTGTTTGGTTGCAAAGGTGTATTCGGTGTTTCTTGTAAAAACAAATTAGGTAATGAAGTTTAATTTGCATATTTTTTCCCCATGTTTCTTCGGAATCTACGATTTGAGCGTGAAAATCTGAGTATTAATTTCACCTGAAACATAGTTGTTAATTATTTAAGGGGGGTAAATTATCAACATGTCTTAATAGTTAGACTTAATTCTTATAGGTCATGTTTGATTCACAACACTAAGACTATGTTTGTTTGGGTGGATATGAGTTTGGGATTGGACTAATAGTCCAATAAAATTATTAATCTGATGTTTGGTTAAGCAATTAAAGTACGGGTGAAAATCTGAGTATTAATTTCACCTGAAACATAGTTGTTAATTATTTAAGGGGGGTAAATTATCAACATGTCTTAATAGTTAGACTTAATTCTTATAGGTCATGTTTGATTCACAACATAGTGAGGTATTAATAATCTTATCAAATTAGTGTGATATTCATTATCCAATTGGATTAATGGAATAAATTATCCATTGGATTAATAATCTCACTCCCACCCCATTACTAATAATCTTATAAATTTGTTGAATTAATTATCCATTGAATTAATATTCTTAAACCAAAACGTTAAAATAAATATAGGATAATTGGGTCCACGGATTAATTATTTCAAGCCTATGCTCTAATCCATCCAATCAAACGTGCCCATAAAGTCCTATTGAAAATAAATTAAAGTAAATTCAGAAAAAGAAAAAGAAATTTACGCATCTAATCCTCTCTTTTACACGAGACAATTTTGGCCTATATGAAATTTCTATTGGACATGTTTCTTGTAGGTATACAATTTCATTTTCTCTTGTTCAAAAAGTGTTTGTTTGATTTGTATTGTCATTTTTAAAATAACAATATTATCATAATTTTGTAAAAAATATTAGAAAATAAGAAATGAGAAAATTATTTAGTTAACTCATTGGAGTACGACTTGAAATGAAAATCTCAATAAAGTTCATGTGAGAACTTGTAATGGAAACATGTTTTAGTTATGTTCGATTAATTTGCATGTTAGTATTATTTCTATTTCTATTTTATTTTCACAGTTGAAAATTTGTCATATTCCTTGAAATTAAAAAATAAAAAATAAAAAAAAAGGAAAAAGACACACCTGGTGCTGGCTGGTTGCATGATCAGGTCAGTTACGGAACCCTCGTCCACACAGTGTCAGTCAAAGACAATGAGAACGTCATATTTTAGTGTACACCCCAGAAACTTCTTTCAAGGTTTGACAACTTTTCCACTCCCTGGCAAATAAATTTGAAAAGAAAAGAAAAGAAAAGAATAAAATATATTTATATTTTATTTAATTTTACAATTTTTTTTTTTCTTTTTAAAAATTTCCTAACTAAACACAATATTAATAGGAAAATATTTGAGAGCTACAATTTTTGTGACTCAAATGGCTCAAAATTGTCAAAACGACGTCGTTTTGGCAATTTTGAAGTTGTTTTGTACTCAAAATGGCATTATTTTAGCAATTTCGAGTCATTTGAGCCACAAAAATTGTGGCCCTCAATCATTGCTGATATTAATAAACTTTGCGTGCATCAAATTGCTCACCCTCCCTTTTCAGTGATTAATTCGTTTTGGCAATTTTGAAGTTGTTTTGTACTCAAAACGACATCGTTTTAGTAATTTTGAGCCATTTGAGCCACAAAAATTGTGACCCTCAATCATTGCTGATATTAATAAACTTTGCGTGCATCAAATTGCTCACCCTCCCTTTTCAGTGATTAATTTTTGTAAACAAATAATATATATATGACATCATGACATGTGATACTTTTTATTATTGTAATTAATTTTGATAATAAAATTTATTATATTGAGTATTTAAAGAATAATAAAAAATATATACATTTATGATTGTCCTTTATTATATACGGTGGTACTACATGCACTAATTAGTATACATACTAGTGTACAAACTAGTATTATGATAATATTATTAACTACATTTATTATACAAGTTACAAATATCTAAAACCATACAAATGATATCACATTATCTGTTAATACACTAGTATATATATTAATTGATATATATATATATATATATAATATTATTCTATTATATATTTCCCTAAATATAAATATAATAAATCCTATTATCAAAGTCAAAAATATCATACGAAATATTTTTTAGGCTGGGGCTTTCCTCCCCGGTCCATTATTTAGATCAGTTCGGCTCATTGGATTCTTTGGGTTGCAGGGTTCCATGATTTGCTTGTCCCTGCACTCCGATGACTTCATTGATCCAAATTCAATGTATCTGAACAACAATCCAACCTTCTCCACTCATTTATTTTATTATTATTTTATACAAACCCTACTTTACCCACTTTACCTTTATTTATTTTATTTTATCAAAAAAAAAAAAAAAAAAAACAAGGCACAAAACACATGTGGCAGTGGATCATCCACTGCCACATCATTAGAGCCACCACAAATTAGTGGTCTAAAGCATTTTTGTATTAATATTCGTTATTCGATCGACGTGATTTTTTACAGGAATAATATACTCAATAAATTCTGAAACGTGAACAATTCTAATTATCAAAAAAAAAAAAATCCCGACGTGATTTTTTACAGGAATAATATACTCAATAAATTCTGAAACGTGAACAATTCTAATTATCAAAAAAAAAAAAATCCAAAAATAAACCTAATGAACCGAATTAGATCAGACTGTGTTGGCTTGCTTTGGCAAGCAAGCTTTTAGCTTTTTTTTACCCAAGTCACTATTCAAAAAATTAATTTTTCAATTAAAAAAATTAAAAATTAATTTTTTACCAACCCCTTAAAACACCACGTGGACTGAACACCGTCCAGACCCTATTTTTTATTCGTATACAAAAATTATTTTTATATATGAAGTGTTTGGGAGATCATTTATAACTAGTGGTACTTGCGGTTAATTTACACAAATTTCTCCTTTTCCCTGTTCAATTTTCAAACTCTTGATTAGCTCTCTCTCTCTCTCCTCTCCCTCTCTGTTCACTCCCATTTGTTTTGTTTTCATCCTAAGCTACAATTCGTCTTTCTTCCACGATCCATGGATCTTTCTCTATCTAGAAATCCTCCTCCACTTTGTCTCTCCAAAACTTCATATACTCGTAGTCGATATCTATTAAGCGTCCCACTTTCTAATTTCCCAAATCTGAATTTGAAACCCAGAATCTTTTCCAGAAAACAGTTGCATTGGCGCCATAATCACCCCATCAGAGCTCAAAATTCAAACCACACCATTGATGACGGATTTGAACTCGAAGATGTTCCTCACTTGACCAACTTTCTTCCCGATTTACCGGTAATTCTTTTCTTCAATTTGATGTTTTTCCATATATATATATAGTAAGTCAACCGTGCAATGCAATGCATAAAAACATGTATTTTAAAAATAAATTTTTGATAAATTTTGGTCCTACCATGATGTAGGTTAGAAGGTATAACCCAATTTTGTTTGTTGCTTTATAATTGAAATTTCAAAAAATAATTGTGTTATTCTGGACTACATTTGCAGTTTGTATGAATATTTATGATGAATATATGAAATCTAGGTTTGAGTGTTATGTAAGGCCCCAACAATAACACCCCAACTTCCATGCTATTAAATAAGTATAATAACATAACACAAGTAGGATAGATAACCAAAACATCTTAATATACATATATAATCATTGTTAATATCACATATCATTTGTTTATGTTCCATTATAGAATTACAAAACATTGCCAAACCAAAAGTCAAAAAGAAAAAAAACTAGTTTAAGTCTTTAAATGAACCGCAGCTCTAACACTTCATCTTATTTGCCTTTGAAATAACTTTCACCATTTTAAGCTACTTCATCACCTAGCATGACATGCCATGAGCTTGAAATGCCCCGTAAGAACACACACACCCTCCTACCTTCGAACAACCAATCAACCATATGTAGAACGAATCGGATAACACATAATATACTACTACAATAAGGTTCCCTGAATTAGTAGTTAGACTAGACATCTAGAATCTCCCAAAGAGATCCTTCCTCCCAACCACAAGAATTGGACACTGGACTATTTAGAACTCCTCCTTTTACTGCTTTGCAGACCTTACCACCAATGCTTACACCGATTATATATTGGGCAGTGACATCGATGGACCTCAAAAGGGACGGCCAAACAAATAGACTTGCTTACACCTTGCACATACCATACCAAAGGGCTCGTTGACACCCTGAAACCATTGCATAGAGTCTGAATACATCCGTGCCATCCTAGGGTTTGCTTAGACCGTTTACGTAAGACTTAACATTACCAACCTCTTTTCATTTCCCGTTTGTTAGATATTTTGATAAGCGAGTTAGTCACATTTGATAATATAAAAGAGCAAGAGACAAACATAAGAGAGGAAATATAGCCTAGGATAATCATACATAAGTATGGTAAGGCAAGTAAACAACATTAGGCATGCTTTGAAATACGTAGAGACAAATAACACAATAAAACACCATTTCTAGCACTGTTCAGTTCTGTAAGGTTAACAAGAATGCTTTGGTAAAAATAATTTCAGGTCATAGTAGGGGCTGAAATTGCATAGAAACAATAATCAACCTGTCTAGTTTTAGTTCCAATTCTCAGAATTTGCACAGTACCTCCAAAAATTCATTTACAAGCTATATTCGAAAACTTGTCCAGATTTGTCACCCTTTGGGAAAACTAGCTTTCCTCTCAATCTACCCGATGATTTTCACCCAAATAAATTCTGTTGGAAAGAGAACTCAGAATTCTAAGGGTTGGTTTGGGGTACACTATATAATCCATCTTTTTATCTTTTTATCTTTTTTCCATCACATCACCTCTCTACTTTTCTGCACATCTTTTCGTAAAAAGACAAAAAGTGCACTTTTTAGGACACCCCAAACCAACCCTAAATTTTGACAGAAGAACCAACATGAGATGATTTTTTTTGGAATTTTATAAAATTGCAAGAAGTGAATTGTTTTTCAGATACTCAGGAACCAGATTTTTAAACAAAATATCCAAGCCCTAAAAACACACCATGAGGGGCTAATAAAATTATTACAAGCTCTAAACACACCAAATATCCTACATTAAATTCAGATTTGAGAAATAAATAAATTTGATATTTCTTTTAAATTAGAGAAGTTGCAGCAGTGTATAATTTGACAAATTTGCAAAACAAAGTCACTAGATCATACCCACACTTTCATATGCACCAAAATCCCTATGTACCATTAATATGCGACATAAGAGGACATACTGGACAATAGGATGAGATGGCTGAAGAATTGGAGAAGATAAGGGAGAGATGTGTTCTTACCTTGACTCAAGAAGGCACCTTTTTTTTTTCCTTCTCTACTTCCCCCTAATCACACTTTCCTTCTCCCATTCTCTCCCTGGGTTGCTGAAATGTGTGTATAAGGAATTGAGGCAATGCTCTCAATTTATAGGAAATGAGCCTCTAGCTTAATGACTAAGGAAGGAAATAAATATCTACATATTTTTTCACTAATTTGCTCAAATAAATATTAAAATAATAATAAAAATATTTATTTAAAGATATTTATAGACATTTATTTGCTCAAATAAATAATAAAGATTCAAAGAACTCATAAATATTCAAATAGGCTAAAAAAATAAAATGCATGAATTAATGTAGAGACTAAGGGTTAAAATAAATAAAAACTAAGTGTTAGGGGTATTTTCAAATATAAAAATGGCATTTTAGGATTTACTTATAATCTCTGTTATCAGAATCTTACGATTCGCGATTCGATTCGCGATTCGATACGCAATTTTTGCAAAATCGATACGAATCTATGAGTGAATCTATTTTGGAAGTGAATCTCTAGTGAATCGCACGATTCACAATCGATTCACGATTCGATTCACTTTTTACGATTCATGCAATTTTTAAAATTATTGTGTTCGACAGATTTTCGACTCATTTTTTCCATCTTTTTAGTGAAAATGACATAATAGAACTTCTAATAGCATTTAATACCAAAATAACCAACATATATATATGATTTTTTGTTATTTTAGTAATCATGGAGTTTTTTATAGGATCCAATCAGATTCAGTCAAGCCTAACATATTTTTAACCTTTCTTCTTATTTTTTTCCCCTTCAAAAAATTGTAATATATCTTTTAAAGATATTTAACATTAAAGTTACACTATGAATTATCTATTACTATTTTATTAAATTGAATATTATATGTATGAGGTCAGTTATATCTTTTAAAATGTTTTAGGCTTTAAAATAAAATATCATAAATAATTCTTTCTTATTATTTGCTCACTCTTACTTAAAAAAGTATATATGTTTATTGTTCAAATATCAATATTGTTGTTAACTATTGTTACTTTAAAAATTAATAGTTTGTCTATTTGGTTATTATCTTTATTAAGAATGGTTGATAAAAAATATCTAAAAAAAAAGAAGATAAGATGGTGATTTTATATAGGAACCTTTGTTAACTTCTTACTTATTAAATTACGTGATTATCATTCAAAAAAATATTTTTGTTGATTTAAGTCTAAATATTTTATATTCATAAGGTATATTTAACATTTAAATGTGTAGATATATGTTTTTAAGTAATTTAGAATAAGTGACCGAATCTTTACGATTCACGATTCGATTCGATTCGCGATTCGGTACGAGGCCATTTCGATTCACGATACGAATCCCGATTTGACAACTATGCTTATAATACAAAATAAAATACAGAAAAATTATTCTTTATTGGACTATTTTGTAAAATTTTATGAAATTTGGAACTAAAATGCAATTAACCTAAGGCATAGGGTTTCAAGTGTAATTACAAAAAATTAGGGCCTCTACATGTTAGGTTACTTGGATCAAACAATTATGCTTTCATAGTCATTGTACTTGCTTAAGACTTGGCCTAATAACCTTAAGGTTATGGTTTCAAGTCTTGGGGCCACCACTTTGTGCATTATGCTAAAGGTTAGGTGTGTACTCAATCTTTTCCCTCCCAAACACACATTAATGTGTACTAATTGGGCGTTGTTTTTTTTTTTTTTCAGTCATTGTACTTGCTTAAGTTAGCTTGGCTTCAAAATTATGCTTTCAGATTCAGGATTTGTGCATGTATTTTTCAATGAGAATTCATCTCTTCAAGGGAATACTTGTGAAATGAAGTCCTACATCGGCTAAGTATGAAAGTAATGCACACTATATAAACAGCTAAGTTGAAGAGATGAGCGCCCTATGCACATGAGGGAGGGTGTGAAGTGAAGTCCCTAGTCTGCTGTGTGAGCACCTTGTGCGGGACAGAGGGTGTGAAGCAAACTCCTGGGTCTGCACTCAGCAGGTGTACTGGCGGCGACAAACTTTAAGAAGGTGGAAGTTTTATGAAAAGGGAATTTCATTAATGAGAAAAATTCAGTCACCATAAAACCCTAATCTCTTTTCAGAGAGACAAATAATTTTCAAGGGAAAATGAGTCGATTCAATGGTCACATCAACAATTTTAAGTTTATATTCTATTGCAATAATGAAGAAGCTTATAGATATTTCACATGGCAGTTGGTTAGTACCCCTCCTAGATCCATCCAATGGGGACTAATCTGGGCATATTTTTTAATTTAAAATTACTATATATATATATTTAAAGTTGGAGCATGTATCCGTATTATAATGGTAAAAATGGATATGTAGATGACCAAAGTAATTGGAGTTAATTTTTAGTAAGGTTGTAACTCTTGCAAGTGGCACCAGTTCAGCAAGTAGATGTGGATTTTTTAGTTGATTATTGATGAAGTGATCTTACAAGTACAACATGGGCAAATATACCTATCGATTTTGAAACTGATCAGTATCAAACAAGAAGCTATCTTGACCCTTCAATTGATAATGTTTGCTAATTCCTATAATCTTAATTTACTGTGCCAGTGTGTCTAGTTCTGCCAAAGTGAAATATAGTATATATTGGATATTCATCTAATTGATCTGGTGTTTGTTATCTGTTGATGAGTGATATAGATCTATTATATCTTTGGATGTGCAAACTTAATGCATCTATTTAATCATGTTAGGGAATTTTGATGCCATTCTTCTGATGATTAATTGAGGTTCATAAGTTTTATTTTATTTCATTTTTCTCTTTTCTCCAGTCCTACCCAAATCCATTGCATAGGAGCCAAGCTTATGCCATTGTCAAGTATGTTCACATTTTCTTTAATTTTCTAAAGCTTTATGTTATTAACACCTTTATGTTTATACCCCCTCTTCAAAACTTCATTGCATGGTCATTCTACGTAAAAATCTTCTGTTTTGCTAGGAAAACTTTTGTCAGCCCAGAAGACGTGGTAGCTCATAAAGTAAGTGCTCTCTCTCTCTCTCTCTCTCTCTCGTAATGTTTTCTTACCAAATTTTGGGGGTTCTATCTTCCCTTCAGATTGTTGTTCAGAAGAACAGTCCTAGAGGAGTACATTTTCGGCGTGCCGGGCCTCGAGAAAGGGTAGGTATATTATGTAATCATTAAATGCTTTAACAGGGATCAACACTGGGGAATTTCTCTCTCTCTCTCATCATTGAATGCTGTTGCAACTTCGAACAAGTTTGATCTAAATATTTCTCCAATATTAGGTTTATTTCAACTCTGAGGAAGTGCGCGCTTGTATTGTCACTTGTGGTGGTTTATGCCCAGGGATCAATACAGTGATCCGGGAGATAGTATGTGGCTTGAATTATATGTATGGTGTTGATGACATACTCGGAATTGAGGTGAGTTAGATGTGGTCCTATCTCCTTCATGCTGAATATTTGGGCAGTTAAATTGATATCTGGTGTCTAATAACATCTCTTTCCTAAAAGATTTAATAAAATTTGATATGTTAAGTTTCCCAACTTATGTTTGTTTTCCTTAATATAACACCATCAATTCAAATTGTTAGTCTTTAGATTTTATAACGTCTGTCTGACTTATTTAGTAATGATCTGTATATATTAGCATTATTGTGTATCCGCCTTGACCCTTCATTCATGCAATCATTGGAAATAATGCACAAAATTAGAAAAGAAAGGAAATTTTAGTCAGATTTCATGCAACAACAAATATTGTTTGCCTTATATGATAAGCATAATGTCGTGGTGACATTCGCACCACCTTTTATTTTAACATTTTATGGAACCTCACACCATGATGCTACTGGAAATTTCCAGGGGGGATATAGAGGCTTTTACTCTAAAAATACAATGCAATTGATGCCTAAAACAGTCAATGATATTCATAAACGTGGTGGCACCATTCTTCGAACTTCACGAGGAGGTCATGATACTAACAAGATAGTCGATAACATTCAGGACCGGGGGATAAATCAGGTGATTTCTTTTTTCCCTTTGCCTTCCATTGGATGCAAGGTTTTAGTAGTTTTAAAAAACAATTCTCTTTCTGGGTTCTAGGTTTATATAATTGGAGGTGATGGGACTCAAAAAGGAGCAGCTGCTATTTACAAGGTGATTAATTTCATGAATATAAATTTGTTTCTCTTGTTCTCTTTTCGCTCAAGCTGTGTGATGGCAAGATGTTAAACTTGCATATGTTTGTCAAGGAAGTTGAGAAACGTGGTCTTAAAGTGGCAGTAGCTGGGATTCCTAAGACAATCGATAATGATATTGCAGTAAGTCCTATCAACCATATTATACTTTCTTGTTGTATGAAGCATAGCATCCATGCTGCTTCTTTTCATGATATAGTGCAAATGCAAATCTGAAGGCTGGGCAACTGTACCTTGGCTATTATGATATAACTCAAAAGATATGTCCAGTTTCATCATTCATGACTTCTTCAGGCATGTGTTTGGTAGTCTTTATTTGGAAAATATTAAAAAAGAAAAAAGCTATACCAAAAGACAACCTTGGCCTTAATTTACATCTTCATAGGGCAACTATTTAAAGTTTATTTGTAATGAAGTAAATGTAATGACTAATTCTTCATCTTGATCTTGGATTTATTGAATTGAATTCTAGCAAGTAATGCCCTGAAGTGGTGTTTGGATGTTCGTATAATTGTGTTAGAATTCAATGTATAAAAAGAAATAGAGAATTGTATTATTGATTGATATAATGTTATATTATTACAATGATTCATGATTCCTATATATAGAAGAGGGTGAGTGTGTAGTAGGTAAGGAGTAGGTGAAGTGGAGGTGGTAGTGGTGTAGTGGGTTAGGTTTAGTGGAGTAGGTGAGGTGGTAGTGGTGTAGTGGGTTAGGTTTAGTGGAGTAGGTTTAAGTGGGTGAGTGTGTAGTAGGTAAGGAGTAGGTGAAGGTTTTAACAAATTGTTATATACTGAGTTTTCCATAGCAGTCAATTCCTGAGAGCAGGATCTATTCAGACAACCAAAATTAAGCCTTGTGTCCCAATTAGTGTTACCAAAAATGCTAATACCTTAGCAAATTACATTTTGAAATGTACATTCCGAAACATGGTACATTTTCATTCCCAAACGGTAAATTTGGTGATCCAAAGCGATCTCAAAAGCTTTTCCAATATATTTTCTTAAGGTTGCGTATGAATTTTGGGTTATGAGGAAAAAGAAAGAGAAATGGAATTGTGAATGAACACAACCTAAAGTTTTTTGTAGGAGGGAAAAAAAATCAAATATAATGTACTAAAATATAAGGTGAGTGAAGTTTTGACTAGACAAAAAGTCAAGTATGAATTATAATGCTCATAGAAATATGTTTCTACAAGATTAATTTGAAAAAAGAAAAGAAAAGAAAAAACTACATTTTATTGGATGTCTACTTTTTAAAATGAAATTCGCTTTAGAAGTATTTTAAATTCGTATAGTGCAATCTTTACAAGTGTATCCTTATCGTACCACATTTTAGAGAATATTTTGTAACCGGTTCCCTTTCCTATTCCCATTCTAGTTCTCGTTCCATATACTAGAACGATCCATTTTTCATTTAAGGTAATATAGGTCCCAATCTAGTGGAGTCGGCAACATGAACTTTTACCATGCACCAACAATTATGTAGTTTTTCTTTATATGCATGCAAGTAATGTTCTTTGAATAATTCAATTATAGGTTATCTTTATTGAAATTTTTGGTTAAATATACTTGTCTGGTTTCAGGTGATAGACAAATCTTTTGGTTTTGACACTGCTGTTGAAGAAGCTCAGAGGGCCATTAATGCTGCACATGTTGAGGTTGAGAGTGTGGAAAATGGAGTTGGGATAGTGAAGCTTATGGGTCGATACAGTGGTGGGTTGAGCACCATATAATGGATTTTTTCTTCCACATATAACCTCTAGTTTTTGATTTCTAATTCGTGCTTCCATTTTTCTAACTTGTCTTCTGCAGGGTTCATTGCTATGATTGCAACTTTGGCTAGCCGAGATGTGGTAAGATCACAGGATCATGATGTTGTACATAACTGCCTACTCTTTTTTTATTTTATTTTTTATATATAATTTTTTCAAAGATTTTCTGTCCATTCTCATCGTAGTTAGATTACATAACCACCTATTTTTATCTCTAAGATTCTCGATCCGAACTCTCTGTAGTTAAAATGTCTTGTGTTATGCATAGATGAAGAAATTTAACAGTAGATATATGGTTGCGGAACTCCAGGTTCAAACCTAGTTCATCTTTGATTTAGTAATGCATTAATTAGTGATCAAAATCATTGCATCACAGTGTGTAAAAATGCAGTTTATGAGAGTATCTGTGCAAATAATGCCAAAGGTTAGGCCTGTCTTAAGCCTCTGAGCACCCTCATTTAGTGGAGACCAACACTGAAAAATTCTTTTTAATCTTCCTAGTTGTACTTAATTGAATGTCTCCCAGGTTGTCTCTAGAAGTTCGGGCTAGTCCCATTTCTTCCTTCATTTCTTACTGAGCAGTGACTGATGGCCAAACAGATATGTATTTGGCATAAAAAAGAGAATAGTGAACATTTATAAGAACATAGTGAACATTATGTGAGACGAACTTGTATAGTCTTGAAAGTTTGGCTCTTTGACTATAGATTACAAAGATACTAAAATAAACAACAAATCCTTGTGGAAATGTAGGGGGAATCTTGGAAAATCATGATTATACTAGATTTTTTTGGGGGAAATATGTCTGATAATTCTGGTACTTGATGAGTTTGGCTTTGTTTTGGTTCTAGGTTTTCCTCAAATATTGTGCATTAGAATGGTGGGCCCCATTGCTACACCATTATATAGAGGTAAGCTTAGTTGCTTATATTTATATTTATATTTTTGTACCAGGACAACTAAAGGACTAATAGTGATTTCTATTAGCAAAAATCTTAGTGGGTGTTTGGGAAGTGGTTTTTATGTAGGATTTTTTAGTTGTAGGATATTATTGGATAAAAAATTTTTGGTGTTTGGGAAGATAGTTGGGTTTTTTTGTGGTTGGATGTGATGTTTGTGAGAGAAAAAGTGAAATGATTATGGGGTTGGATGTGATATTTTGTTTGTATTTGTTTTTTTTGGTTTTGCAAAAACTGTGTCTTTTAGTGGAAAAAATCAAAAAAAACCCAAACCAAAATCTTGCCAAACACCACCTTAGTAGTGGTCGTACCATCTATAAGATTCTTTTTGTGCTGTAATCAACATTCAGGTACTAGATGTAGCCAGTTTTATATAAGCTTCATTCATGTCACAGACAAGGTTTCCACTCATTTTCCTTGTGTCTTGCATTGACATACTTCGTACATATCCAATGCTATATCCAGAAAATGTATATGCTTCATTTCTGTAGCAGACAATGTATTTGTGTCTCTCTATTATTATTAGTAAAAATAGCTTGTTTGGTGCAGCTGTTAGAACATATTATAGATTATAACTTAACTAATTAAAGATTTTCGCTTTGAGTGGAAGCTTTTAACAAGTTTGGTGCAGTTGTTGGAGTATAGATTTAAAATAGTTTATGACATAAGCAAAGAGGAGGAATATTTGAGTAAATTTCCAATAAATATAATTTCTCGCATAAGCAAAAAGATGAGACGCATATCTTAGTCAGCTTTTTCAAATAAGCTTGAACTATTTCAGCTTAACTAAAAATAAAGATGATTAAACTATTCCAATTAAACTATTTTATTATGAGCTACACCAAATATGTTATTTCAGCTTAACTAAAAATAAAAGCTAAAAGTCGTAGCTTTTACACAGCAACAACCGCCTCAGAGTATTCTTGCCCCTGGCAAATTTTGGCCAGTGAAATCTCTAGCAACAAATTAGTTGGCTGAGCTCGCTAACAGAGGTAATAGTTGCTTAATTGAAAAAACATTAGGAGCATATAAACGTTAAACTACATTTTGTATGTAACTTATTTTGAGAAACATAAAAAACGAACTTGAAAATATGTATGCAAACTCTTTTATTAGTGCAGGGATTTGTATGATTGTAGGGATTTTTCTTTGATGAATCTCTACGAGGAATTAACATTATCTCTATTATTTATCATTTATCATGTCTGTGTGATTATCAGCTATTAGAATATATTTAAAAAGTTGAAAGAGGAATTGGGGGTTTAATATATTTTAACTTTTTGTGATTATATCACTGGTCTTTCAAATAATGACTGTCACAAGATTGGTCAATATGTTTTGGACAGGATTGTTGCTTGATTCCAGAGTCTCCATTCTATCTAGAAGGCCAGGGTGGACTTTTTGAATTTGTTGAACAGCGTCTTAAGGAAAATGGGCATATGGTGATTGTGTTGGCAGAAGGAGCGGGGCAGGAATATGTTGCTCAGAGCATGCATGTAGTTGATGGAAAAGACGCATCGGGAAATAGGCTACTTCTGGATGTTGGTCTGTGGCTAACACAGAAGATTAAGGTGTAGTACAATTTTTTTCACAGGATCAGATTGTTCTCTCTTGACTTATTTTAGGATTTATTAGCTCCCATTCACTATGCTTGTCTTTTGATCACACCTAAATATGATTATTTTCATTCTTTATAAAATTCTGCTGCCAACTGTGCAATGTTCATGAAAGTGGAGATTGTACAGGCTTCCAGTTGTATTTAGGAACAGGTATATATGTTGGAGCAATAACGTTTATCCTTTCATGTTTTAAATAATTTTCAGTAAGGTTGATATGAGAGTAATTTTATCCATCAAATCCATTTTGTTCAAGGTTGCTCTCATTCATTTCAGGAATGTTATGTTTAGTCTCAGTTCCATGTAGCATGAACTTTTTCTATTTTTGTTCTGGGGATAAGAAAGAAAAGGTGAAAATTCTTGCAGCTTTAGGAGTGTAGGATCATTCTTATTTCCATTTTCATGATGTCCTAGTACACCATCCTCGATCACTTCTATGTACTTCAAATTCCAGACCATCTTTCCTTGTGACTTGTCATTGCGATCCATGGAATTCCTTTCATTTATTTCAAAGTTGCCAATAGACCAAATGGAAAATAAGGGAAGAAAAGAACCAAATTTGGATTATGCGATAATGATATTAAAATCCACCTACTCTCCACCTACTTCACCCACTTAAACCTACTCCACTAAACCTAACCCACTACACCACTACCACCTCACCTACTCCACTAAACCTAACCCGCTAGACCACTACCACCTACTCCTTACCTACTACACACTCACCCTCTTCTATATATAGGAATCATGAATCATTGTAATAGATATCAATATTCAATCAATCAATAATACATATATTTTTTACAATATTCTTTTTAAATGGGTAACATGGTACTGACATAGGTTCTTGAATTATGTATTGAACTAGCAAGCTTTATGTCTAAATCGGTGCAATTCTTTGCATTGGATCTACTACTTTGTGTAATGAGATATTTTATTTCCAATTTATTTTAATTGCTTACTGTTTAATCAGCCTCTTCCTACTACCATTCTAGATTTGTTTATTTTGGATGTATATGTTGCATGTCACAGGATCATTTTATGGAGGTCCAGAAGATGCCAATAAACCTAAAATATATAGGTACTTCCCAAAGTTCTGTATGAAAATTTGTTTGCTTTGCTGCACTGTGGGACTCTATGTGCCTTCAAATGACATTATCTACAGTTTTTTTTTTTTTGGTTATGTTCCTCATGTGCACATGGCTTCTTGCCTCTTATTTATACAATATCTTCACTCATTATAAAAACAAAGTCTTATAGCCTCAATGTTTTCACAAAGTTCTCTGACCCAGAAAAGTGAGGAAAAAGAGTTAGCCCACTTCAACGGTCATCATTCATTTGATAATTCTGATAAAAATTAGAAAAGTTTCACTATTTAGATACTGCTTTGTTTTTGGAGACATAATTTGGGACAAAAAATGGGACTACCTGTCTGAAATTAATAACAGAATACTTAAGAGCTTACAATTATATTATTTTGGTTTAGTTAATTCGAGTTGGTAGAAATTAAGATAGTCAGTTTGAACACGAGATGCTGGGGATAAGGAATGTTTGTGCAATGTAGGCTTGTAGCTCTTCAGTATTTATGCGGATTCGTTATATGATTCATAGATTGAGGTGTAGTTGCAGGCATCATAGCTGAAATTTGTAATAGATCAGAACGTGTAAAAATAAGAAATTAAACGTTATTTAGTGTTATGCCATTTACGTGGGTAGACACCTTTAGAGAGAGTGAGAAATTTTTCTCTGGGCTATGAGACACAGTCCTGTAATCAACCAAAATACCTTCCTTCACATTTTTATTTCTTTACCCATTTTAGATTCGACACTAACAATGGAAGCTATCATTATGAGTTTTGATTTAAACCTCGGAAGCTTCTTTACCAAGAGTATTAATAGATTTAGTGTTCTAGTGTAATGATAACGTTTGATTTTTATATTTGCATCTAACCACATTAATACACAAGGAAAATGTTTGAGACCCCAAAAAAGTACCCACAATTCTAACAATGATATGGCAGGATATGTGTCAACTTTTTATTTGTTACACTTAATGATGATAGGCCCAACTCCCATGCCACATCAATGTGGGTGAATTTGTGGGTGTAAATGTGTGGGTCTCTAACATTACTCAATACACAACATGCCTATATCTCATGTGTATTTTATGGTTTCTCCTAAGATGTCTTTGTACCTTTCTTTAAGGTATCTTATCTGTGTATAGAGTGAAAACATTGCACATCGGATCTTCCCCGAATCTAGTTACTGATTGTTTTAAGATCTCTACTTAAATTTTCTTCAGATCCAACATACATGATCCGAGCAATTCCAAGTAATGCATCAGACAATGTGTACTGCACACTGCTTGCTCAAAGTGCTGTGCATGGAGCAATGGCAGGGTACACAGGCTTCACAGTTGGTCCGGTGAACAGCAGACATGCTTATATCCCAATTGCTGTAAGTACTTTTGCCCATTGGTTTGTATTTGTGTTTGAGACTCTGAATTTTCTTTAAGTTGTATTTGGATCATAAATTTGGGTAGGGAAGCTTATGTTTCATTCACATTTACCTCACCTTTCCCTTTTCCTTTCCTTTTACAAATCTCTTCTCAAATCCATGATCCAAACACTGCCTTAGGGTAAATTACATTTTGATAAATGCTATACAAACAATTTTTTTTTTCAAACTAATGTGACATGCACTTACAAAACATTGGTAATTGAAATAGGAACAACTCAACTGCCACATCAGTTTGTAAGGAAAATTTGTTTGTATAGCATTACTCTTTACATTTTACACCCCAATAGTTTCGGGTGGGTTTCACTTTGACCCCTTTGGTTTCAATTGCAGCACATTGGTGCCTACATGTTTTAGTTGGTTTCAATTAAATCCAACTGTTAACTCCCTTCAAGGATTTGGGCGGGATAACCACATGTTGATGCCATATGGCTTTCTTTGACCATGTGAATCTCACATGGAGTTAATGCCAAAGCCGTGTTGAACTCGCATGTATTTTTTTTTGTCCAAATCTCTAATCGGACTAAATGGCTAAACCTAATTGAAATTCAAGGTCCAATGTGTCGCAATTGTAATTGTAAGGACCAAAATGAAACACATCCTAAACTATTGGTGAAAAACGTACTTACCATCCTTTCAATTTTAAAAGTTTAGTTCCTAATTGAGCCTTAAATGGAAAGCACGTTTTCATCACCATTAAGTCAAAAATTGATAGGAGAAAAATCAACCTTAGGATGTTTGTATATCTTTCCCCAGTGGTGCCAACCTTCAAAGAAACTGGTGTGAAAGTACTTTCTATATCCTGTGTATGAAAAAATTCTAATAACATATTTGTGAAAATAAAGAAATCAATAATTCCAACCGTTGTTAAAATATTCAAAAAATTAATAAATAAGAACTAGCGACACTGACACAAACAATCTTTTATGAAGAAAGATAATGTCTGCCGTAAAGTAATACTATAAGCTAAAACCGTGGGGGGAAAAACAGAATAAAACAAGAAACTAATAATCATATGTAACATAAATTAACTAACCTTAGGTACAAGAAAATGATTTAATCAAAAACAAACAATTGTTAATATCATCGTCTTGGATTCAGATAATGACAACCTCAAGTTGATTGAATTCGCCCTTTTGTCTCCTTCAACAAGTTTGATGTTATTTGGAGTAGACAACTTATTTTTCGTGGTTTCGTGGTTCTTGGGTTTTTATTGGTGTCCTCATTTCCTCCTTTTTTGTCATCTAGCTTCTATATTGTTTCAACGTTGAAGTCGACATGGTATCCATCTCCTGCTATCTTAAATACAAAAGCCTTTTTATATTTCCCCTTTTTTGACAATTTAGTTTAAAATTTATACAACTTATTGTGAAGTTTTGTCTAATTTTTGGGGGCCGGGGGGCAATTCTGGTCTATTAATAAATGTAGAAAAAACTATTGTGTAAGTGGTAAATTTAAATTTATTCACATCATCTAATAACGATAGAGACGTTAAAATCTAATATTGAGTGTCATGGTGTGGCATTGCAGCGTGTGACTGAAACTCAGAACATCGTCAAGTTAACAGACAGGATGTGGGCTAGACTTCTTGCATCCACAAATCAACCCAGTTTCTTACATAATAGTGAAATGATGAAAGAAAAGCTTGACAGAGAGACTCTAGATGTGATCAACGAAATGAAGATTAATTCTATTTAATTTTTATGGATTACAGCAATAAAGACTTGCAAATCCGAACATTGCAAGTGTCCTCTATTCTTTTCACGCAGTTCTGGGATGTAAATTTCAATACTGCCTTTTTTGTTTTTATTTTTTATATAGCATTCTTATTGAGCAGTTAAGTACAGGTTAGCTTTTACCATAGCTATTTATGTTAGTCCTCCAGATACAGTGGCTTATTAGAAGATGTTTTGATTGTTTTTAGGTGACACACTTTAGACATTTTCTTATGCTGTGTTTGGTTGAGGGATTTGAGAAGAGATTTAGAAAGAGAAATGGAAAAGGTAGGTGCAATGTGAAAAAAAATATGCCTACATTTCACATAGTTTCACACACCTTTTTCCTTTCCCTTTCCAAATCCCTTTCCAAATTCCCCAACCAAACACAGCGTTAGTGAAATTCAAATATATATGTATTTGTTAACATTTCTTAGTGACATTCAAAAAAATATCTATTATACTGAGTTGTTGTTTGCACTTGTGCATTGTAAAACTACTTAGTCCTTTTGACTTATTTCATGCAATGGTGCAATAAAATTTACACATTTGGAAGGAATTAAAGTATTTGGGTTTTTCTGTTTGCTGATTTGAGGAAAACATATATTTTTGTCCTAGCTGAAGGACAAAAATAAATATCTAGATATATGGCTGACAGTAACTCTGCACAAAACCATTTAAAAAGATATACCTCACTGTTGATTAAGATTATTCCATCAATTATAGTTTATATATAAATTGATGTGACTCATTAAGCTCTTGTCATTTGAAAAAATAGAATCATCACTTATAAATTAAGCACTTCATTATAGTTGAGATATTTGCATGGATTTATTTGTGTTCCCTCCCAAGTTAGTTTAGGTATGGAGGAATTGGATCTTGCCCAATCATTAGTTTTTTAACTAAATCAATTGTCTATTGCTTTGAGAGAAGGTTATGTTGACATGCTTTTTTAAAGTGGGTGACCAAAATTGTTTTTAGCATAAACATGGATTTTCATGGCAAGAAGAGACTACTAACGCAGGGAAAAAATTTCAGAAAAATATTCAGAATTTTATATCAATGGACAAGATTTGTTGATCATATGTCCCCACAATAAGAAGGTTAAATTTACACCTGTTCAAAAATTTTGGTAGTTTTTTCTAGCTATTTTAGGAGAGGCTAGACTTTCCAAGGTTCATGTGATCAAAATCATAGGCAATTTTATTTGTACATTACAGAAAATCTCAGTACACATCATTTTTGTCATTCGGATATAAATATTCAATTTTAAACAAAAAGTAATTGTTGGAGCATAAATAGTTAAACAAAATGTATATTTGAATAATTTATTTTTGGTCACAAGTCTATGTTCTAAAATTTGACTTTTATTCTAAAATTTATATCTAAACAACATAAATAATATATACAGAGATTTTTTTATACTGTGCGAATAAAATATTGCCAAAATCATATGTGGCAGAATTTGAATTGGCAAATGATTAACAATAAAGTCCCAAAAATGGCATGGATAGAGCCGCAATAGACTTAGAGGAAAATTTCTAGGTAGAATAGTATAACCCTGTGAAAATATCTTATTTTGTCTTTCAGGAATGCTCGATATCATGAAAAGTCTTTCATGAAAATGATCATGAAGATGATCATGAAGATTTGTGACCTTTGGATTACAGTTAGAATAAATCACAACACACTAATCAACGTAATCTAAGAATCACAAATTTTTTATAATTATTTCCATGAAAAATCTTTCTTGATCCCTAACATTTCACTTTGTCTTTTGTATAAAAACTTTTCAACTTGCATGTATGAATGTCTTTATCATTTGCAGCTGTTGTTGCACTACAGGCACACGCAAGGAATTTCGAGACAAAACTTATGCAACTAGTTCATTACAGGGACCCCCAATTTGCAAGTAGATCATTTTGATCAAACAAAGCATTCACTCACTATTTCCTCTCACTCTCTCTCATTTATTGTTGAAAATAACTTGAACAAATACAACCCCATAGGATGGGTGTTGTGACTGATATATTTATAACTATATTTGTAATAATATATGTAACTATTTTTTTGTTTCACATCTATATACACCCTCAACTTGTGGGCTGCGGCGGATTTGGAGATGTTGCTGCACAGCCTACGTAGCAGCAATTATTGTGCTGTAAAATGGGCCCATTTCGGGGCCTATTTTGATAATCCGAACCGTTCACATTTTAGAATACATCAAGTAGAATATTCTTACAAAAAATTAAGTTAATCGGATATCGTTTATCCATTTATTCACTCACATTTGTATTTACAAAATAAAATAAATAATAATTGTGATTTAAAATATTAAAATAAATACAAATGTGAGTGGATGAATAGATAAACGATATCCGATTAACTTAATGTTTTACAGATATATTTTATTTAATATATTTTAAAATATAAACGATTTAAATTATCAAAATAAATCCCAAAATAAACCCATTTAATCGCACAACAAAACCCGCGCAACAACCTCCCTAATTCCGGCTGCGGCCGACTTCCCCATGCATGCACCAACATGAAGGAAGCGCGGGCCAGGGTTTGCCACGTAGATTAGTAATAGTCACTTGAATTTTGATTTATCTATAGGGTCACGTAAAACCCCGTTTAGTAACAGATTATTTTAATAATTTTATTTATTTATTTTTATTAAAATATGAGATAAAAAATTAATATATTTAAAATAATTTTTTTATTTTTTTACGAAAAGATATGTAAAAGTAGGGAGAAGGAAAATTTTGAATTTTTTGTATAGATTGTTAGTTTTTTAATTTTTTTAATAATTTTTTAACTTTTAGACTAAAACAGTGAGTTGCCAAACAAGATCTAAGCCTCCGTTTGGGAAGTGAGTTGGCTTTTTAACTTTTTGACTTTTTTAGCATGGGCTAAAAAACTTGGTTTGGAAAGGACTTTTTGGCTTTTTGACTTTTTTGACTTTTTTTGTGAGAGAAGAGTGTAATGATTATGAGTTGAATTTGATATTTTATTTTTTATAGCTAAAATAGTCTATTTTATTTTTTGTGACTATTTTAGCCCCTAACCCACCAAAACCAACTTCCCAAACTATGCCTAAATAACATTAATAGATTGTGAGTAAAAAGACGAAATTGTAAAAAAAAAAAAAAAATTTACAACATCAAAGGTTTTTAATATATATTTTGTAGGTCCACTTAGAATAGTGACAATTGTTTTGATGGTTTTTTTTTTTGGTTACATTTTTGAGCGGTCATCAACGTTTTTCATCATCTTTTATTTTTATTGGATAAATTATCAATTGAAAATACTAATAATAGCTTTTTGAATTGTCAATAATATTAGTAGATGTGCAAAAAAAAATATTAAAATGTGTAAAAATATTTTAAAATGTGTAAAAGTTGCATTGAGCTTTTTGGATAAGTTTCTTCTTTTTATTTAGGGAACCAGAGGGGTCACGTTGCTCCTTCAATTTTTTGAAATTACATTTCTACCCCTATTTAAAAAATATTTGTAATTGGTTCCAAGCAGATAGTATATCTCTCAATTTTTGTTATTTTCAAAAAAATCTTTGCAAAACAAACGAGATTCATTCATTAATCAAAATCTTTACATTACTGTGAGGTCAGAAATTCAAATATCCCTATCTATTGGTTGGTTGTATTCTCTTAGCTCAATTGGAAAGCCATGATATTTTAATCTCTGTTAACAGGCTGAATTAATTGATTTATTTATAAAAGTTGAAAGATAGAAAAATTAAAAGTTAAAAGTGAAATTGTGAACTAAAACAAAATTGGTGGAATAAACAAAAGGAAAAATTCACATTACCCCATCATGATTTTGCCTCGGAATATTTTACCCTCATATGGTTTAAATATATACAAGTGTTTTAAAAAGTTAGTAAAAAGTTGACTTTTAACTTTTTTTAGTCAAAAAAGTTAGCTTTTTGGATAGTGACTTAGGTAAAAAAGTTAACTTTTTTAACTAAAAAAGTTAAAAGCTAACTTTTTACTAGCTTCCCAAAATGGCCCAGAGAACCTTTTATAGTTTTGGACTAAAGTGTTACTATTCATTTTTTTTGTCAATAGTAACAGAAGGTATGCTACACTCTCTCAAACTGAAAGTCATCAATTCAAAAATCCCAAGTAAAGTAAAAAATTAAATTAAATATCAAAAATTCCCTCATGCTCATCTTCTTCTCCAAATTAAATTATATTCCTAACTAACCCCTAACTTTAACCCTAAATGTTCTCTTCTATCAATAATTTAATTTAAAATCTTATTAAATGAGAAATTAAGTTAAAAATAAAAAGTTAGATTAAGGTAAGTTAAAAATAAAAAAGTTAGATTAAGGTAATTTTATGATAATAAATTAAGGTGTTTAAGTTTATTTATGGTTTAATTTGTTAAATAAATATATGTATCTATTTAATTTAAAATGCTATTAAATAAAAAATTAGGTTAAAAATTAGATTAAAGAAATTTGATGATTTAATTTAATGGTAATAAATTAAGGTGTTTAGATTAATTTATGATTTAATTTGTTATATATATATAATATGTATGTTTAATTTAAAAATGTAACTGAATAAAAAATTTGGTTAAAAATTAAAAATTAGACTGTTTAGATTAATTTATGATTTAATCTATTAAATATATGATTAAGAGTATTCAGATAAGGTAGAGGTAATTTTATGGCATAAGGGTATTTAGATAATTTTGTCATTGTTTTAATAGAGTTAGCTTTGCACTAAGTCTAAAATTATAAAGGAATTCTGTTTATATTTGAATTATAGGGGTTAAAGTGCTCAAAGCCGAAATTATATGGAGGTAAAGTAAATTTTGCCCATAGACAAATAATTTAGCCATGTTTTAATTTTTTTTTGAATAAATTACACTTTATACGCTTCAACTATTGTCTCGTATCACTTTATCTCCCTTAACAAAAAATTGTAAACCAATTGGGCTAACCTAATTGGCTATCATGATTTTCCTAAGGATTTAATTTTAATGGCGAGGTCATGAGTTCAAATCTTCTTAAGAAAGAGTCGAATTAAGAGGCAAACACTTTAGTGTTTTGCAAGGGTGGGAAGACTAACTACCATAGGTGCTAATCTAATAATTAATAATTGAATTTTGTTGATAAAAAAAAAATTAAAAATTGTAACAACTAACTCCTCTCATCTACTAATTTTTTTTTTTTCAATTTGAACCTTTATGACTAAAATATTCTTTCAACGATTGGATAAATTACAGTTTACCACCTTGAACTATCATCTAATACCACTTTTAATTTGGACTTTCTTATTTTTTAAATTTTTTTTTTTATCAATAAATGAATTTTTAGTTTGTTAGATTTTTTTAAAAAAAAATTGAAAACCAAACAACGAAAATATTTATGAAAAAATCAAAAAAATGTTCACTAAAGACAGTAAATATAAAACTATACTAATTTTTTATTTTATGTTTTTTATTTTTTCGTCTTTAGTGATT